CCATTTGGAGGTTTTTTCTAGCCAGCTTGCACGTTGTACTAACTTAAACCATCATTTGCTTTTAACCCAGGCCTAGCTCTTTGGATGTAGACTGCCTCTTTCGAGGGAAGCTCCACTAAGATTCATTTGCTGCAGCTCCTGGTCAACTGGCCATCCCGTTCTCTTTGTGTTGCCATGCTGTTTTGTGTTGTGTTCCAACATCCCTATGTCTCAGCTCAGCTCCCTCTATGACAGGGGTCCTCAATGTTGGCAACTTTAAGACTTGTGGACTTCAACTCCCAGAATTCCTCAGCCAGCTTTCTTAAGATGTAGATTGAAGTGGGTCCTTACATTAGATAGGATCTGATTAGACCAGCTACTCCCTTCTGCTTGTCTCACCCATCTGCTCTGGACCCCAGAGTCAAGGCTCTTTGCCTGAAAACACAGGCAGAAAATGATAAAGGAGAAGCTGTTGCCCTCCCACCCACTCACCCAGGCCCACAGAGGTCGCCCACCTAGCCCCTGTGCTTCAGCCCCTCAACCCCCCAGAATTGAATGCATTATTTCAAGTGCATTATTTCAAGCTGTTCAACTATTAAATCTTCCAACTCTTGTTATTCTATTCTGTTGTAATAGCCAAGTTTCAAGAATGGGTGGGTCCTGAGATACTTTCTGAGATGGATTCAAAGGCTGCCATTTCTCCTCTTGGAGATCTTGGGGTGGAGGTGAGGCTGTTTCCAAGGGCTGGCCCAGCAGCTAATGTCCTGATTTCAAAGCCTAGCATTCTGCTCACTTCCTAATGCCAGATGCAAGAAAATAAATCACATGGTTTTTGCTCATCCCTTCATCCCTCTGGGGATAGATAAAACACGTCATATCTGGAGGAAGAGAATTCAGATGGCAAAACTACCAAAAGTCTCTGAACAGCCATGGAAACAACAGAATTTGATCACTTGGGGGACTAAGTTGCTGCAATAAAAAAATGCATTCTCTCACAACCAGTTGGAGGAGTTAGAAAATAAGGACATGATATCAATGTGCCAGTTCAGATAAAATAGGTAAAATATGGTAATTGATATGAGCTCAGGAAGGCAAGAAAAAGTAATCTTTCAGTGGAGGAGGTTACTGAACCACCCCGTTACAATGATAACATACACCCCCAATCTTTCTGAAGGTTACTCCAGCTCTGGATTGGCTGTTTCCATCTCAAGTAGGATCAAAGATTAAGGAAAGAGGTCACAGCGTTTAAGATCAAAATGTGCTGCACTGCTCTCTCTCACACACACACACACGTAACTGGTTTAGTGAGTTTATTAATATGCTCCAGCAATTCCCTTCACCAAAACTCAGATCTGTCCCAATTAAGTCCAGCCATGAGCAGGCCAAGCTTAATCCACAGAGCAATGAGCTAATCTTATACAAATAATATAATCTTATACATACAGTATACATACAGTATACATACATACAGTATTTATGTTGTATATAGCATGTTTATGTGTTGTCTATGTACGCTTTTGAGAACGGGCAACAGAATTTCATTTTTAATATGTGCCAGTGTGCTCACAATAAAAAAAATGACAATAAAGGTTATCTATCTAATTCAGGAATAGTCAACCTTGGTTCTTTTATGACTCGTGGACTTCAACTCCCAGAAGTTGAATGGACTTCAACTCCCAGTCAACTCGTGGACTTCAACTGGGAGTTGAAGTCCACGAGTCATAAAAGAGCCAAGGTTGATTACCCCTGATCTAGTCCACAAAACAATTGGAAATTGCTCAAACAAAATACCTCCACCAGACAAACTTAAAAGTTATTTTTATTTAGGGTTAGGATTAAATCCAAACCAAAGAGAACTCACGAGGCAAGAAAAGTCCAGAGTCTCGAAGGCAAGAATCAATTCCAAACACTTGTCAATGCAGAGCGAAGCAGGGAACAAGACAACCAAAAACACACAACTGGAAAACAAACACATTGTTCCCGGCGACGCCTTCATCTGGTCTTGCTGTGATAACGAGCCAGTTTCGGGGGCTGCCCATCAAAATGGGTGGGGCTTTCTCCTCCAGCAGTATTAAGTATTAATTAAGTATTAATTAATTAATTAAGGGGGGGTCCTAGAGGGGATTCCCGCCACGCTGCAATTTTTCAAAGGGTCCCCGGAGAAGGAAAGGGGGCGGGGGGGGACGGGATTTGGGGGACCCAGGAGAGGCAGAGAGGAGGCCCCTCGAACTGGACGTCACGGGGGGAGCCTGGCCGGAGCCCCCCAGGAGGGCGAAGGGAGGAGGAAGCGCCTCCCCCAAACTGCCCCCCCGCCCGGCCTAGGGAGAGACACCCCCCCCGGGTGAGGAGAGAGGGAGGGGCAGAGACGCAGCACCAGGAGGCCCCTCAGCTCCGCCTGCCTAGATGCGGCGGGCGGGGGGGGGGAGAGCGGACCCCAAAATTCAAGGGGAGCCTCTCCCCCCCCCTGCGCGCCGGGACGAAGGCACCCATCGCCACTGCGCAGGCGCCATCTGGCTGAGTCAAGGAAAGAGGGCGCCGATTGGTGGCTCTGGCGATGGCGGCGATTGGCAGCGGGCCTCCCTGGGGGCGGTCCCTCCAGAGGAACAGGCGGGGCTTCCGGGGAGAAGAGTATGTAGCTTTCGCTTCTGGAAACAAAACGGGCAACGAGTGAGCTTCCTGAATCGGCGAGAGAGGAGCCGGGATGCAGGTTTGGCGCAAGGGACGCTGGGAGTCGCAGTCCGGAAGGGTCACTTCCGGGGAAGGGACCCCTATAGGGATTGAGGGAGGCCTGGTCAGTGACAGGCGGAGGCTTCGGCCTTCCTCCCCGGGGGGGGGGGCGGGCGTGGGACTCCCCTCCGGGCAAGGGGACGAAGCGGTAACCGGCCTTTCCTCTTCCTTCGCCAGAGGAAAGGAGCGCCGCCAGAGAAGAGGCCCCGCGGAGCAGCCCTGCCCGGTCCCGACGCAGCTTCCCTGGGAGACGGCGGGGAACGGCCTGGACGACGCGCCGCTGCCAAAGGGATCAGCCGAGGGGGACTCCGGGAAAGGAGGCCGCCTGGAGGGAGAAGCGGGGAGCAGGAAACGGGCGGAAACTCCGAGACGGGCCTGGAGGGCGGAGGATCCTTCGGGACAGGCGGAAGACTCGGGAATCCCCAGAGAATCCAGGAGGGAGGAGAGGAATATCAGTGCCCGGAATGTGGAAAATCCTTCAAAAGAAATGGAGATCTTAAAATACATCAAAGGATCCACACTGGAGAAAAACCGCATAAATGCCTGGAGTGTGGAAAGAGTTTCTGTCATAGGAACAATCTTTATACACATCAAAGGATCCACTCAGGAGAGAAAGCATATAAATGCCTGGAGTGTGGCAAAAGCTTCGGTGTGAGTGAAAAACTTTATAGACATCAAAGAATCCATTCAGGAGAAAAACAGTATAAATGCCTGGAGTGTGGAAAGAGATTCAATAGGAGGGATAACCTTTATACACATCAAAAAATCCACACAGGAGAGAAACCATTTAAATGCCTGGAGTGTGGAAAGCGCTTCCGTCAGAACAGAAGCCTTAATAGACATCAAAGAATCCATTCAGGAGAGACACCAGATGAATTCCTGAAGTATGAGACGACATTCAATCAAACAGAGGAGCTGAGGAACTACCAGAGAATCCATGAGGGAAAAAAGAAATATCAATGCACAGAATGTGAAAAATCCTTCAAAAAAAAACACTATTTGGAAATCCATCTAAGAGTCCACACAGGAGAGAAACCATTTAAATGCCCAGAGTGTGGAAAGAGCTTCAGTCAGAAGGGAAGCCTTAAAAAACATCAAAGAATCCATTCAGGAGAGACACCAGATAAATTCCTGAAGTATGGAAATACATTCAATCAAACGGGGAACCTGAGAAATCCCCAAAGACTCCATAAGGGAGAAAAGAAATATCAATGCACAGAATGTGAAAAATCTTTCAAAACAAATACAGATTTTCAAAACCATCTAAGAATCCACACAGGAGAGAAACCATTTAAATGCCCGGAGTGTGGAAAGTGCTTCAGTCAGAAAAGAAGCCTTAAAAGACATCAAAGAATTCATTCAGGAGAGACACTAGATAAATGCCTGAAGTATGGAAATACATCCAATCAAACGGGGAACCTGATGAATCACCAAAGTATCCATGAGGGAGAAAAGAAATATCGGTGCACAGAATGTGAAAAATCTTTCAAAACAAAAACACTTTTTGAAAACCATCTAAGAATCCACACAGGAGAAAAACCATTTAAATGCCAGGAGTGTGGAAAGTGCTTCAATAAGCAGGGAAATCTTTATGTGCATCAAAGGCTACACTTTAAAAAACCGTATAAATGTAGGGAATGTGAAAAATACTTCAAAACAAATGAAATTCTTGAAAACCATCTAAGAATCCACACTGGAGAGAAACGATATAAATGCCTGGAATGTGGAAAGAGCTTCAGTCAGAGTGGAAGTCTTGTTACTCATTGCAGAATCCACACAGGAGAAAAACCCTACAAATGCCTCGAGTGTGGAAAGAGCTTTACTGACAGTACAAGCTTCCATCAACATCAAAGAATTCACACTGGAGAGAAACCATATAAGTGCCTGGAATGCGGAAAGTGCTTCAATAGGAGTGGAACCCTATATAGACATGAAATGATTCACACTGGAGAAAAACCACATAAATGCCTGGAGTGTGGGAAGAGCTTCAATCGGAGAGGAAACCTTTACATGCATCAAAGGATCCACTTGGGAGACAAACCATATCAATGCCAGGAGTGTTGAAAGAGCTTCAGTATGAGGGGAAGCCTTTACATGCACCAGAGGATCCATTCAGGAGAAAAACCACATAAATGTCTGGACTGTGGCAAGCATTTCTGTTCAAAGGGAAGCCTTTATTCACATCAAAAAATTCACAGGAAAAAAAACATAAATGCCGAGTGTGCAAAGAGCTTTACTGAGCATAGAGGCCTACATCGACATCAAAAAATTCATGTGGGAGAAAAATGATAAATATGCCTGAGTGTGAGATGACCTTCAGTCACAGTGTATATCTCAGGAATTGAATTGAATTGTATACTTAATTTGGCCAAGTGTGAATAAACAGACAAAGAATTTGTCTCAAACGCACAAGCTCTCAGTGTACATAGAAAGCAACAGAATGATAATCATGTAATTCCAATAAGAGGGTTGAGTAAAGAAGATAATAAGGGTAAATAACTGCCAAGTAAGGGACTTTGTCAGGCTGAATAATAAAAGACTTTTTCAATTGTACATGCTAAAGGTTTTATCTGGCTAAAATTTTCACAACATAATGTGACTCGTGATGCCTTTTCCCATACGAACGTTGTTTTAATGCAATGCTCATGTCAATTATCCTTTATATGGGATGTTACTGTCCATGTCTCTACGTAACTGAACAGGAGGATTTCTTCCATCCAATCAAGTCTTTTGTATTTTTTCTACTGTATGGTGTGTAAAATGAAACTCGATTCTGTGTCCTGGAATCCCTCTTTTCAATAAGGAAACCTCTTTGTTATAATACTCCAATAAATTGCCTTTAATGATCATCATCATTAGTGGTCATTGCCTAATTGGAGCAAGTGTGCCATGGCTGAATCTAGGGCTAATTTAATAATAATAAAGTTGGAAGGGATCATGTAGGTCATCTAGTCCAACCCCCTGCTCAGGCAGGAAACCCTACACCATTTCAGACAAATGGCTGTCCAGTCTCTTCTTAAAAACTTCCAGTGTTGGAGCATTCACAGCTTCTGGAGGCAGGTTGTTCCACTGGTTAATTGTTCTCACTGTTAGTAACTTGCTTCTTAGTTCTAGGTTGCTTCTCTCCTTGAGTAGTTTCCATCCGTTGCTTCTTGTCCTGCATTCAGGCCCTGTGAAGAATAGCTTGATTCCCTATTTGTGGCAACCCCTGAGTTATTAGAACACTGCTATTATGTCCCTCCTCATCCTTCATTAAACTAAACATACCCAATTCCAGCAACCGTTCTTTATATGTTTTAGCCTCCAGTCCCCTAATCATCTTTGTTGCTCTTCTTTGTACTCTTTCTAGACTCTCAACATCTTTTTTACATCATGGTGACCAAAACTGGATGCAGTATTCCAAGTGTGGCCTTACAAAGGCATTGTAAAGTGGTATTAATACTTCACGTGATCTTGATTCTATCCCTCTGTTAATGCAGCCTAGGACTGTGTTGTTTTTTTTGGCAGCTGCAGCACACTACTGGCTCATATTTAAGGGATTGTCCATTAGGACTCCGAGATCCCTCTCACAGTTGCTACTATTGAGCAAGGTACCACCTATGTATGTTTGGTTTTTCTTGCCTAAATGTAGAACCTTACTTTTTTCACCATTGAATTTCATTTTGTTAGATAGCGCCCAGTGTTCCAGTCTGTCCAGATCCTTCTGTATCTTAAGCCTGTCTTCTAGAGTGTTGGCTATTCCTGCCAGCTTGGTGTCGTCTGCAAATTCAATGAGTTCCCCATCTATCCCCTCGTCCAAATCATTGATGAAGATGTTGAAGAGCACTGGGGCCAGAACAGAGCCCTGGGGCACCCTGCTACACACTTCCCTCCATGTAGATGCAGTTCCATTGAGGACCACACGCTGAGTCCGGCCGGTCAGCCAGCTACAAATCCCATCTGGTGGTGATGCTGTCTAACCCACATTTTTTCTATCAAGTAGTAGGTTGTGATTTATCAAATGCCTTACTGAAGTCCAAGTAAATTATATCCACAGCATTCCTCTTGTCCACTAATTTTGTCACTTTTATCCAGATATCTGAAACTCTGAATTGGATGCTCTCAATGGTCCCCTTTAAAGATTTTTAGCAGAAACAAGAGACTCTCTAAGGCCAACAAAGCTTTGTGAGATAATATCCATATCCTCAGCATTAGGAGAAGTAGGGCCCACCGATTGAGGCAGGTGCAAGCAGGAGAAGGTCAGATGAGCTGTCGAGGAGTGGCGGTGCTACTTAAAGACGGTGGAGGTCAAAATAACAGCCCTGCAAGAATTTTCTGAAGAGGATGGTTAGCACATTTCATACAATTGCTGAATGAGAAAAACTGTATTTTCAGGTTCCTCATAATGATTTTTCTCAAAATGGAATCAAATGTAGATTTAAAATCAACAAAGGCTACATGCAGTAATTTTGTCCATGCTACTTTAATTTTATTTAGAAGAAATTTTACTTGTAAATCAAAATTTGCACCAATACATTACGCAAGAACAAATTGTGGATGCCAGATTAAACTGGGTCTTTTTCAACTGATTTCACAGTAAGTTGAAATTATTTGGTAAAAGAATGCATTCTCTTCCCACAGTCTGTTGGAGGAGTTAGAAAATAAGGATATTATATCAATGTGCCTGTTCAGATAAAATAAGTAAAATGTGCTAATTGATAGGAGCTCCCCAGGTAGGCAAGAAAAAAGTTAGACTTTGCACTGGGGGGGGGGTTTACTGTATTTACCCCCATTACAATAATAAAATATTGTACCCCGATCTTTCTGAAGGTTACTCCATCTCTGGATTGGCTGTTTCCATCTCAAGTAGCATCCAAAATTAAGGGAAAAGGCCACAATGTTTAAGATCAAAATGTGCTGCCTCTCTCTCTCTC